ATGGGCCGGACACCCTGGGTGGCAAAGAACATACGCTCTAATAAAGAAAGGGTACTTCTGGCCAAACATGCGAGACGACATCATGCAATACACCAAGACGTGCCTCATCTGTCAACAGGACAAAGTCGAGAAAGCCAAAGTCTCAGGACTCTTGGAACCTCTACCTGTGCCGACAAGACCCTGGGAAAGTGTATCTCTGGACTTCATAACACACCTCCCAAAAGTCGGGGACTATGACGCTATCTTGGTTATCGTAGACCGATTCTCAAAATATGCGACGTTCATCCCCACTCCCAAATTATGCTCGGCCGAACTCACAGCTCAACTATTTTTCAAACACATTGTAAAGTTATGGGGTATTCCGTCGAGCATCATCAGTGATCGGGATGGCAGATTCATTGGAACATTCTGGATCGAGTTATTCGCCTTCTTGGGAACAACCTTAAACATCTCCTCGAGTTACCACCCTAAAACCGATGGTCAGACAGAACGGTTCAATTGCTTGCTCGAAGAATACTTACGTCACTTCGTCGACGCTCGCCAGAAGAACTGGATACAATTGTTAGATGTCGCCCAATTTTGCTTCAATTGTCAAACCAGCTCGTCCACGGGAAAGAGTCCCTTTGAAATTGTAAGTGGACGACAACCGGCCTTACCCCACATTATCGATCATCCTTATGCAGGGAAAAACCCTCAAGCTCACAACTTCACAAGAGAATGGAAGCAATCCGGGCATATTTAGAGAAGGCTTCCAAGCATATGAAAAAGTGGGCAGACAAGAAGCGTCGCCCCCTTCAATTCCGAGCAGGAGATCAAGTCCTCATCAAGCTGAAACCAGAACAGATCAGATTTCGCAACCGAAAGGACCAGAGACTAGTTCGAAAATATGAAGGCCCGGTTGAAGTCCTTAAAAAGATCGGGACTACCTCCTACCGAGTTGCACTTCCCACATGGATGAAAATCCACCCAGTAATTCATGTGAGTAACTTGAAGCCATACCACCCTGACCCAGAAGACGACCAACGAAATGCAACCACAAGACCGAGCATCGATCTGAGGCAAAAAGAAACAAAAGAAGTAGAGGAGATCCTCGCCGACAGGGTTAGGAAGATAGGATGACCTGTACGGACGATTCGTGAATTCCTTGTCAAATGGAAGAATCTCCCTACAGAGGAAACCAGCTGGGAACGCGCCGAAGACCTGAAATCCGCCGCCACCCACAACGCTAGGTTTGAAAGTAGTCGGTTGACGGGGTCGTCAACCAATTAAGTGGGGGAGGATGTCACGGTCATGCCCGTCCAGGGCGTGTTGCCCATGGCCGCATGCCTATGGCAAGCCAAACCCTTGTCATGTCTTTTCATTCTAGTGTTTTTACTTTTGTAGTTCTAGGGCGTATGACGCCTCAAAAATATCATGTCTAGGCCTGCCAGACATGAAATGCCTCAAAATGTACTATAGGGGGATATGACTAGTTGTCAACTTCTCCCTACCCAAGGTTATATATGCTAAGCCGTTGTTATCTCTCTCTTGCTTGCTTATATAACGTCTCTTTCACAAATCTCTCTTTCTAAAATCTCTCTCTACCCTCGTTTTCCAAAAACCTTCTTTTAAAACCGAGGCTAGAGGCTTGATCATACGTCGCTTGGTCGTAGGCGACGCAAGTACAAATTGGCTTAGCTCACTTGTCGTTGGAAAGTGAGTGCCACACAATCGCTAGTCCGCTGCCTTTAAACGTGCGATTGTGTCACTATGCGATCATTTGTTTGATATCTCGTCACTCGTAGAGAGTGCTGCTACAGTTTGTGGCGAACTTGCATATTTAATCGACAAACGATAAATAAAAATAATACATTGAAAAGAAAGAAGACCGACGACCACAATAGGAATCAAACTCACGACCATCTGATCTAAAGTCAAACACGTTAATCCACTACACTATTAAGTCATTTGTTCATCATCTCGTGACTCACAGACAGTGCTGCTACAGTTAGTGGCGAACTTGTGTAATTAATCGACACACGATAAATAAAAATAAGTGATTGAAAAGGAAGAAGACGAAGACCAACCAACCATAGTGGGGTTCGAACCCACAACCTTATGATTTTAAGACATACGCACTAATCTATAATCCGATCATTTGTTCATTCTCTTATTAGTTGCAGACAGTACTGCTACAGCTATTTATGAACTTGCGTAATTAATTGACAAACGATAAATAAAAATAAGTGATTGAAAAGAAAGAAGATAGATGACCACAGTGGGAGTCGAACCCACGACCTTCTGATCCGAAGTCAGACGCGCTAATCCACTGCGCTATGCGGTCATTTGTTCATCTCGTGACTCGTAGATAGTGCTGCTACAGCTAGTGGTGAACTTGCATATTTAATCGACAAACGATAAATATAAATAAGTGGTTGAAAAAAAAGAAGACCAACCAACCACAGTGGGGTTCGAACCCACGACCTACTGGTCTGAAGACATACGCACTAATATATAATCCAGTAATTTGTTCATGCTCTTATGAGTTGCAGACAGTACTGCTACAGCTATTGATGAACTTGCATAATTAATTGACAAACGATAAATAAAAATAAAACATTTAAAAGAAAGAAGACCGACGACCACAATAGGACTCAAACCCACAACCATCTAATCCAAAGTTAGACTCGCTAATCCAATGAACTATGCGGTCATTTGTCTTCATCTCGTAAAGAAGACCGATGACAACAATAGGAGTCAAACCCACGACCATATGATCCAAAGTTAGACTCGCTAATCCAATGCACTATGCTGTCATTTGTTCATCATCTCGTAAATAATCGACAAACGATAAATAAAAATAAGTGACTGAAAAGAAAGAAGATCGACGACGACGATAGTGGGAGTCAAACCCACGACCTTTTGATCCGAAGTCGGACATGCTAATCCACTACACTATGCGGTCATTTGTTCATAATCTTGTGACTCGCAGACAGTGCTGCTACAGTTAGTGGCGAACTTGTGTAATTAATCGACACACGAGGAATAAAAATAAGTGATTGAAAAGAAAGAAGACCAACAACCACAGTGGGGTTCGGACCCACAACCTTATGATTTTAAGACATACGCGCTAACCTATAATCCGATCATTTGTTCATGCTTTTATGAATCGCAGACAGTACTGCTACATCTATTGATGAACTTGCGTAATTAATTGACAAACGATAAATAAAAATAAGTGATTGAAAAGAAAGAAGA